CCCCAAAACCCCAAAACCCCAAAACCCCATTAAATAAGTATTAAAAGATTCGAGAGTGTACTTGATTAAATTAAGAATATATGCTAATTATGTAATATATAGTCGTCATTAATTGATTTCGTTAAACATTTTCTTGAAAGAATGAGATAATTTAGAGCTAGCTACTGGGACTAGAGATTGATGGCGCTTACTCTACCTCTTTGCTGATATATAATCTAGCATTTAGTTGCAGCTTTCATTTACATTATTGTCATTAATAGGCTGGCCTTAGTTGATATATTTTAGATAGGTGTTATTGTCAGCAAAGTCAATAGTCTAGGCCTGCTTTTTCTTATCTCTAAGACTTTAATAGTCATTTTCCAAAATCTATCTCATCATTTACTGAGTATTATTTAGACTGCTTAGAGTTTTCTCATGTCTATACATTGGTGTTTTGGAACTGCTTATAATCATTGGCTAGTTCAAGTAGTCCATGTTTTCTTTATCAGAGTTAAACATCATGTTCAAACTCAAATGATTATTCGGTTAGAACTACTACTACTACTGATAATCTTAATGTATTTTGGTGGTGTCATTCAATGGGGAACCCATAATATTAGAGAAGTTAAGGGTATTTTCATTGCTAAAGTACAGCTAGTCACCTCTCAATTCATAGGCAATATCCTTAATGCCATTACTCAAGACATCCTTGTCCATAGTAGTTTCATAGTAAGTAGTGTTACTTATGACATCGTTTTAGCGACCTGAGAAAGTTGTATTAATATAAGATGTGCAGATTTGCTCGCATTTCCTTTGATTTAAGTCTAGTAATTAAACTAGGCTATCTTCTTGGATTAGTGTTTAAAGCTTTACTTTCAGATCATCGTTATATTCCTCCAGCTGATTAACTTTAATGTTCAAAGATTTTTCTTAATACTCCAATTCCAAGTTTTAGTCTTCAATATATGCATTTTTGCTTGTCAGCTCAGTAATGATTTTTTATATTTTCTAATGTAGTTTTCCTGCTTTTTTTAGTTTGATAGTACTTTATAGTAGTTCCTTATCTGTTTCACAGATGTACTCCTCAATTTCATTCTTTTCAATGGTAACTTTTTAGAGTTGTATTTTAACCCTTTTGATTTTGAAATGCACTTGTTTATTATCATTTTCAAGCTCATCTGCAAGCTCCTCACTTTTTTCAAGCTTACTAAACTTAAGCTCTACTTCTTGGTCGATTTAATGCAGTTCAAGCTCTTTTTGAACTTTTACCTAGCGCAACTTATCTATGTTCTGCTCTTTTTTATACAGTTGCATTCTAGCCAGTCTTAGTCGCTTATCAACATCCTCACTCTCCTGATATTTAATTAAGTTCATTCTCTTTATCCTCTCGTTATCATCACTTGATAACTTGTATTCTTCTAGAAGCTAATTATTGTAAGATCTTATCTGATTGAGCTCGATTACCTTGGAGTTTTGCTCGCCAGCTAGCTTGGTTATCTTATCCTTAGCTTCTTAAACTTGCAATATTTTCTATGCTAATATCTCATCTCTGTGATGATCTATCTTCTTCTTTAGATCCTTCTACTCATAGTCCTCCTAATTGATTTCAGTCAACGCATATCATATTTAGTTCTTCATTTCCTCTATGATTTCATTGTTCACTTGAAACCTTCCTTTGTATTACTCTCTTCGAAGTTACATGCGATCTTATAGCTCTCTATACTTTACTTCTAGCTCTTTCAAATAAGCTATTCTCTCTTAGTAGATCGACTCACTTGTCTTCATTTCCTGGAGGTTCGATTTAGTAGCTGCTTTAATTTGAAGAGTTCTTTGAGAATCTAAATGATCCGTGTATATTAAGTTTGAAAAGCTAAACTATTTCACTGCCATTAAAATTAATCCCTAAACCAATTTTTTTAATAATTGAATTTACATATTCGTTGAGATATTAAAAATCTGAACTTGAGGGGTTTTGGGGTTTTGGGGTTTTGGGGTTTTGGGG